CAGCTTGCCCTAGAACACGATGCTCTTAGTCAGGGAACAGTACCAGTACCGTGATAGGGACCCTGCTTTTTGGTTCCCTGATAGTCTTGGTACTGCTGCATTCTGGGCGCGTAATGCAGCTAAAGTACAAGTACGGGGTCACGCGAAGGGCCGAGGTTTCGTTTGGGTTCGGTGCCGGGATGTCACTTACTTTAGTGTCTACCTCACTCCCAACGAGGCCATCCGTGACTTTCGTGAGAAGATAGACCGCCTGGAAGAGAGCGTGCGCAATACCACAGGACACGTCGTCGTGGGTGGGGATTTTAATGCTAGGGCTGTCGAGTGGGGAATGACCCTCACAAATTCCAAGGGCAAGTACATTCTGGACTTTGCTGCCAGAGCCGGACTCGTTGTCGTCAACGAGGGCAACACGCCAACTTTCCGGCGCCCTGGGATGCGGGGAACGATCCCAGACATTACCCTTGCATCTGAGTCTCTTTTGCCAAGGATCAGAGCCTGGAGAGTCCTGGAGGATTACACGGCCAGTGACCACCAGTACATAATTTTTGATGTCCTGGATGGTCATCAGGGACGAGTAGCCGCGTTTCGTCAAGAGCCCGTTCGATGGAATTTAAAAAAATTGGACATGGCAAAATTCAATGAAGCCATCTTACGAGGAACGCCGGTGGTTCCTCCCGCATCTGACATGGCTCACGCAGAGGCGGTAGTTACATCCATGATGGGACTGATCGTCTCGGCTTGCGATGAGTCTATGCCTCGCAGATCCCAGTGCAATAAGCGACCTGTGTACTGGTGGACTGCCGAGATTGGGGAATTCCGTCGGTTAGCATTGAGAGCCAGAAGACTTGCTACCAGGGCCAGAGAACCTGTAGACAGACGTCGTAAGTCGGATGCTTACAGAGTGGCTAGGAGGTCTCTTCGTCGGGCCATCAACCGGAGTAAACGCAGTTGCTGGGAGACATTAAGGGACGACGTCGATTCCAATCCGTGGGGCCTGGGTTACAAACTTGTAACCAAGAAACTTGGCACCCGCTCTCCACCTTCCGTCATGGATGGGGCCACTATGGAGAGGATAGTCGAGTCCCTTTTCCCGGCTCACACGTTGCGCCCACTGAGGGATTTCGGAAGGGTGGACCACGTACCACTTTTCAGTTTTGGAGAGATGGAGGCGGCCGTCCTATCCCTGAAGAACAATAAGGCTCCTGGACCCGATGGGGTACCCGGCGAAGTCCTCAAGAAGGTTTTGACTATTAACCCCTTGATCCTTTTGCGCATGTACAACACCTGCCTAGTCGAAGGAGTTTTCCCCTCGTGCTGGAAAACTGCTAGGCTTGTGCTTGTTGGGAAGGGGAAGGGGGACCCAGACCTGCCATCCTCTTACAGACCTCTGTGTATGTTGGATACGGCTGGCAAAGTTCTCGAGAAGTTGATCCGTTCCCGACTGAATTCAGCTGTGGTCGCTGCGGGGGACCTGTGCCCTCGCCAGTATGGATTCAGGATGGGGCGATCTACGGTTGACGCTGTTGAGGAGGTGAAGCAGGCCGTGATGAGAGCGGAAGATTTTAACCACTACTCTCGTAGGGTTGTGCTACTCGTAACTCTCGATGTGCGAAACGCATTTAATTCCGCGAGGTGGTGCGATATGCTGGATGCTCTGGAGAACACCTTCCATGTTCCGGCATACCTCATGCGTATCATGGAGGATTATCTCCGGTTCCGCCTCCTCATGTATGAAACTACAGAGGGCCCACGGACGATGAGTGTCACTTCCGGTGCTGCCCAAGGTTCCATACTCGGCCCAGACCTCTGGAATGTCATGTATGACAGCCTCCTGAGGTCTGAAATGCCTGAGGAAACTGCTTTGGTTGGGTACGCAGACGACGTTGCAGTTTTGATAGCTGCACGTAGCGTTGAGCTGGCTCAGCTAAAGCTGAACCGAGATATGCATACCATAAACGCATGGATGACAGACCACGGTTTCTCGCTTGCTTTGAGCAAAACTGAGATCGTGATATTAACAAAAAAACGGATTGACACCATCGTGCCGTTGAGAGTAGGGGCCGTCGAAGTTCAGACCGTTCGTTCTGCCAAGTACCTTGGGGTTATGGTGGACAGCAAGCTTAGCTGGCGGGATCAGATTTTCCGTACGGCGGACAAGGCCGCTAAGGTGGTCTCCTCTCTTAGCCGGCTGATGGCCAATATCGGAGGTCCTCGGTCCAGCCGTAGAAGGCTGTTAATGTCTTCTGTCCAGTCCGTACTCTTGTACGGTGCTGAGGTGTGGGCAGACGCTCTTAATAAGGAGGTATATAGGATGCGGCTTGCCCGAGTGCAGCGTCAGGCAGCACTAAGAGTTGCATCCGCCTACCGAACAGTGTCCGAACCCGCTGTCCTGGTGGTTGCTGGAGTCATCCCGTAAAACTTTTGGCGGCGGAGAGAAAGGCAATTTATCAGCGCCGTGGGGAGGACCAGGCACGAACAGAGGAACGCACCCGCACCTACCAGCTGTGGCAGAAGAGCTGGGAACAGGAGACTCGGGGTGACTGATACAGCAAGTCCAACCTTGGGTTAATCGGCGGTGCGAAGAGGTGGACTTCTACTTCACCCAATTTCTGATGGGTCACGGCTTTTTCCGGTCGTACCTGTTCAGGATGGGCAAAGCCGTGTCACCCGATTGCATATATTGCCCAGGCATTCCAACGACGTGGAACACACCTTTTTCCACTGCCAGCGTTGGGAAAGGCCCCGCCTGGAGGCTCAACAGTTAGTAGGACTGCTGTCAGTGGACACGGTCATACCAATGATGACGGAGGGTGAGGACAATTGGACCTGTGTGTCACATTACATCCAGGGTATTCTCCGCGCCAAGAAGCTCGACCTTGCCTGGGATGCGGTGTAGGTCATAAAGTATCTAAATGCCAAAAACGGTGAGAGCCCTGAGGGCTTAGGTCACATGTTGGCCTGACTTGAAGTTGAAGTAATGTGACAAACAATTCCAGGTCTGTGTCCAACAGAGTAGAGGGGGTTTTTTAGTGAGTAGTCTGTGATAGTTTCAGGAGTCTCACACTACAGGCTGGCTACCTGTGTGCGTAAAAGCATTTTCCCTCCTCTCCCAAAAAAAAACAAAAAAAATCTACTCAAATCAAATTTATTATTGTTATTCATTGTAACGCTTTTATTGATTTGTTTTGTTGTAACTGTTTTGTTTATTTTCACTTGTTTTGTTGCAACCGCTGACTTTTTGCCATCTTGTTGCCGTTTCTTTCTTTTGTTATTATCAATTGATTCTTATTCTTTGTTTTTCACTCAACGATTATTGTATAACTAGCTTTAAGTAAGTCTTGTTTGTATTGCACTAAATTGTACTAAATATCAAAATGGTTGGAATGTAAAATAAATAAATAAATAAATAAATAAATAAATAAATAAATAAATAAAAACAACTTAAAATCAACCATAGATTTTTTTACGACCATTGGTATTAAGCTTTAGATATGATCCATTCTTCTCTGGGTTTATACAGGGTGTTTCAGTAAAGCGTAGCGAGCTATGCAGATTCAGATTCTACATGCAAAAATAAGTCGAAAATTAAGAATTTTTTTTTTTTCGATTTCGGCTTAGTTTGGCCGTAATCTGCCATTTTGTATTTTTTTGAAAATAATTAATTACTCAAAAACCCTTGGAGATATTTTTATGAAACTTGGTATAAACTTTAAGTCTACAGGTATAAACATTCTCCAAAAATATCTTCGATCAGGCTCATCTAGTTTCAAAACGGCGACCATTTAAATTTTTTTTTGTAATGGCCGCTTTTCATTGAGTTTTACTTAAAAAAATTTAAATGGCCGCTTTTTTGAAATTTGATGAGCCTGATCAAAGATATTTTCAGAGAATGTTTATACCTGTAGACTTAAGGTTTATACCAAGTTTCATAAAAATATCTCCAAAGGGGTTTTGAGTAATTAATTATTTTCAAAAAAATACAAAATGGCGGATTACGGCCAAACTAAGCCGAAATCGAAAAAAAGTTATTCTTCATTTTCGACTTATTTTTGCATGTAGAATCTGAATCTCTATAGCCCGCTACGCTTTACTGAAACACCCTGTATATGAAACTCCATTCACAGGAATACCCTTGAATAGTATATTCTGAATTTAAGAAAGAGTGAATTACTGAGACACTGAAGGTGTACAACCAAATTGTATTACTGCAATGAAATTTCTCTGTAGACAGATTCTTACTGTCTAGTTTAAGAGAGACTTCAAACCTTTCCAAATCATTATCCATAAGATATTAATTATCTGTGGTTGAGATCATCACAATTTAGAAAGCTGAGTGTCCAGCAGTGATTTAATTTATTAATCACACAGAGCTGGCTTTGGAGAGTGCAAACAATCAGAGCAATCCTTAACTACTAAAAAAGAAATAATTCCAAAACAATAATGGATAACAAAAATCCCAATGAGTAATATTAGTATTTATACTCCCCCTTTTTCTTTTTCTTAATAATTGTAATAGTTAAAGTAATATTCACAGATTATTATTTTTTTTTTTTTTGCACAAAGGTGCAAAAATTCTCTCTGAGGCGTGGAACCATATGTGTAGCCGCACCTGTTTCGCTTGTGCCTGAGGCAGATTCTGCAATCACAATTTCAACAGAAAACATATTTTCACTGATGAACAGCTTTTGTTTTAGAAGGTTGGAACTCAATATCTCTTCAAACACAAGGACAGAATAATTCTGTCTGGACCGATCCGATGTAAATATTGTAATGAATAAAACTTAAAATTATATTCACTTATATTTTATCCTTATGGATTAGCTCAAAATATTTTTTACAGAAAAACAAAAACATCAGCGTAGTGAAACTGAACTAACATAAAACACATAGCAGAATAGGTTTCAGGGGATCAAAAGTTTACAGTCACTTTTCCAAATCAATTATTGCCAACTAAAAAAGAGGATTTTGTAAGATTTAGAGTTTTTGCAAACAAAACCTACCACACATCTTGGCCACAGTCGGGTAGTAGCTGACTGACTCCACAGTACAAGCCAACACCCCAGCTAGCATGCCCAGCACTCCAGACAGGGTTATGGTAGGCATGCCCCATTGTCCTGTGGGCAAATGTCAAAGTTATCAAAACCTTTAATTTAAAACTTTTACTCTGGAGCTCTGATAATTGATAATAGGTACTTGAATACATTTTGAGTATCCCTAATATTAATAAACATCTAAAAAACTAGTTTTTGTAGTAGTAGAGCCAGAGCCATAAAAAGGTCAGTAGCTTTTTGATAATATTTCCAACTGAATCCATAGCTTTCCATGGTCTCGACTAAAGAAACAGCTAATCTTAGTAAAAAAACCACAAAAACAACTCCCATTCATAATTGTTCAAATACACTTTAGTTGTGTATATCTCTTTAATAGTACCTTAGACAAGTCGTTAAGCATGTTCCTGAATATCCATACAAACCTATCGTTTTTAACCTATCGGTTATCGTACGTTTTTGTGATATCCCTCCCAAATGTACTTATTTCATTTGTCTAGAACAACCAGGGGTCTTAAAGCTTTTCTACATAAATTTAGTTAAAGTGTTTTCCGAAGTCCTGAGTCCTAATTAAAAAAACTTCAAGTAAAATATAATAAAATGAAGTAAAAGTTTACCTGGGTATGGAACTCTGAACCAATCAGAGTCCTCAAGAATCTTAATCTTGACGTCAGTCCGGGCCGGGTGTCCTTCAGGAAAAAATTCTTGCCAAGTCAGGATACCACAGATGCCCCACATGATTCCTATAGTCAGAAGCACCTGTGAAAGAAAAGTTATTACCATATATAAAACTTACTCCCTCAGTAGATTTGTCATCCTTGTCTCAGCTGAATGAATTTTATTATTAGTACGTATAACAGACAGTGTTGATCTGGTGTCGCTAAAGTTGTGTTTTTGTTTACAATTTGTTTCCTGTTATTTCAATTATTTGAAACCAATTAAAACGATCTATTCATAAGGAATAACTTGTCCCCTAGTTCAATAACCAAGCAGTAGAGCACTAATCATGAAATTAACCTTAAAATAATAGAAACAATTTTCTGTACACACTAGCGCCATAGAGCACCATGACTTGCGCTCAGTACGTGTCAACAACATGAACTTGAATTTGCTCAGCTATCAGAAGTTGGCAGTCTCTTAACATTTCTTCAACTGGTTTATGTAAACCACCTGCACCTGTCTACTTAAGATAAAGGTTTAACAAGACAACAAGAGTACATAACTCATCATCTGCTTATTCATAAAGTATAAGGTGGCCGCTCCTTTTAATTAAGTTTATTAACGAAACTCTGGACTTATAGGCATGCGTACAAAGAACAAAGATTTACCGAATGAGTTATTTAGTGAAACCTGAAACAATATGCTTTTTCCTACAGTTACCTGACATAGTAGGCTTCTTGATTTATAGCACGCAAAATAGCTGTGATTCCTGCCTTTACTTACTTGTCCCGCACTCATTTCACTTGCTTGCAATCATTTTACTTTCTCGCATTATAATACTTTCAACCACACAACACAATATTGTGTTTGTATTAGACACGTAATACGGGTATGCTTTAAAACTACTTGATAACACTGCTAAATCGATCAGCTGGTGCAGTGTTTATTAAAGCCAAGGGTGGGATTTTACTAAGGCTGTGTAAAAACAACGCCATCAACACAAAAATCATGAAAGGCCATATTAATTACTTCAAACATAGTGTTCAAAGAGGTCTTGTAAACATGTAAAAATATGTAAATAGCTTTACATTATATTTGGAAAGGTTAATTATCCATGTAAACCCACATATATTCCTGAAGTAATTCACACTTAATTCAATGATGCACTTACTATGCAATATTAACTGGATGTTGTGTACCGGTACTTCAATAAGGGGGGTTTGAGAAGGATTCAGTTTATGGTTTGCACAGGTCGGCTAGTCTTGGCATAAACCTGATTAATGATGAATGTAAAAACCAATCATTGATAACTCTAACATAAAGCATATTTCATGTATAGAACCATATTGAGAAAAAAGTCGATAGTAAAAATAAATGCACCATACTAATAAAACATTTTTAACGTAACAACACTTTTAATTTAAATACATTTATACATTTTGTATAAGCTAATACAGTGTGTGAGTGGGAATTGATCGAAACATGATATGACCAATCGTAAAAATAACTGTAATATTATAAAAACCCACCCAGTTGGGTTTGTCACTCATCTGTCTTTATTCACATACAGTATACAAATACTACACAGTGCTACAACAAGTTAATCAATTATTGATCTTTTGTCTTACTAATTGCTGATAATCAGGGAGATTGACAGCTTGCCAAGCCTTCACACATTCTGAAGTAATGACTTCAGGTAACAGCAGGGGGCAAGTAAGAAGAATATATGAATTGATCATGAATGATGTAATATTATTAATTATAAGCAGTACAAATATATTGTGTGGCCTTCAAACTGAAGGTTAGTTGTATTAGCATCCTTTGGAAAAGGTGTGACAAGTGCGGCTTGCAATACGCCTTAGTTGTGCCCTCATCTCATAATATTTATAGTACAGTGATAGTGTTAGTGGTTGTAGATGAAAATATTCCTTTTTCAGATTGTTATGATTGAACATTGATGTACAAATCCAAGTGAGGTCGCGGGTTTGATTCTGAGCAAAATGTTAACTGGACACAGAACCATTTGTCATTGGGCTTTTATCTAACAAAATATCAGGGTTAAATAGAATGGTAATAACAAGACCATCGGGTTTGGACTATTCTATTTCAAAAACGTTTTTAAAATGCCAATGACATAAAAAGGGGTTTAAATACCATAAGTGGCTCAAAGATGTATATTTTGCACACTCTGTCTATGGCTTTAATCTAAATTAGGGTTCTTTTCTCTAAAACAAACATTGCGTAGAATGTCTACTTTAGACTTCAAGTCTTTTCTGTGTTATATACTTCGATGGTATTTTCACAGTAGGAGATTACCTATAGGCTAAGTGTTGTATTTATTAATTGTTCAGTAAATTTAAAGTTTCTTACAGGAAAAAGTTTGAAGAGGTTGAACCAGATGATTCTGAGCCCTTCTCCTCTCTTGTAGCTGATGCCTGGAACCTTTACTTCTGTCAGAAGCTGGGAGAACACTGTCAGCATCACTATGGTGCTGGAGACAACAGAGAAAAGCTACAAGTATAAGATTGATAATCACTGATTTATTGATGAATATATCCAGGTCTCACTTTGATTGGGCTGACTATGGGCTATGGGCTGACTCGGCTATAGCTCAAAGAGCCAAATGTATAGGAGGGGAGGGGGAGAATTTTCCCTCTAAGTTTTTTTTTCTATTCTTTTGATTAATTTGCCAAAAAGAACATACAAAACACCCTATTTTTTACCATTAATAATAAAGACTGGTAAGGTGGCGTCGTCCTGTAATCCAGCTAATAGGAGGCCACGAGTTGTGGATATTTATAGGCATGCACTGTGGATGCGATACTCCCTGGTGTGGATTAACGCCCGCACTAGTGAGTACTATGACTAACCGCAGTACTATCCTGATAATTAGACCAATTTGTTAAGGGAAAATGTGGTTTTGGATTTCCCTATAAACCATAGGTCCCTTAGTTGCCATTAGCTGTATGGGCTATTAATTACCAGCTGTATCTAAGGAATATGTTGGCCTTAGTCACTAACAAGACTACAAGATCTAGCCACTCATCCTACACTCATCTCCATTCATACTTGGTTTAAAATATTTGTATGGTAGCTATTTCAATAAAAAGTATTATTAAAGTATATTATTTTACCTCAAAATAGTGTTTAAACTGCTTTTAAGATACTTCCATCAAGGGTGGGGGGGGGGGGGGGGGGGGGGGGGGGGGGGGTAAAAGCTGTGCAACCCATGGTGTTCCTGATCCTAAATCTGGGTGTGTCTACAACATTTTTCTGTCCTATGCAATTAACTTAGGTATTAAAGGATTGTTTTAAGGTCAACAATTCTTAAGATTTACGATGTTAAGGCCTGTTCACACTATGGGCGCTAGACTTCTTACTATGTCTTTGATGTATTAATACATCACCTGGGCACTGTTCACTTCATACCAAAGCTACGTCTGGCTACGCAGCCCTTGAATCACCACAACTATTGCCCCCTCTACCGCCCCGCCAGCTCCACACTCCAACTGTAGCTTTAGCCGGCGTAGTGGCAGCAAGGTCGCTTCTGTCGCTTGGGTATTAATACGCCATTGTGAACACTCTCATGAAAATAACATTAAAAGCTATTTCACCTCTGCCGACACCGTTGTGGACAGTCCTCGATTGAGTAAAATGATCTTGATCTACGCTGTAATGAAGTTTGTTGCAGGCATACCTGGAAAGAGGCTTCTGGCACCAGAAACACAAACATGTTATAACAATTATAAAAATTACACAGAATTTTCAACCTAGAGGGGAGTGTGGAGTTGGTTTAAAATGCTGTTAATAGCATAGAACTGTTATAATAATTGTTATAATGGAATTTGTTTGGTCTTATTATTATATGTGCCTCTGTGTCTCTTTTTCATTCAGGCTTAAGCCTGTTATCCTAACAAAAAACTTGAAGGTAACTTAGGTCTTAGGTACGATATGAGCGGCGAGCAGCAGGTTGCGAGCGGCAACCTTAACAATACGTAAGTGGCGGTGGTGGCTATACAAATACGATACAAGCGGCAATTTTTTAAACGTGCATGTAATTGCCTCTATAAGGTGTCAGCATAGTTCAAGATGGGAAACTGTGCAGACTCTAGAACGTATTAAATCAATTTTTTTGTCATTTGTCTGTTTTAATAAGTGGACTTTGTAAATAAGGGGTATAGGAGATCAGGGTACAGCCGACTAACTTAAAGAGTATAAAAGTGTTTGAGGAACCCTACCATTGGCACCATCTAATTCTGTACATTAGGGAATTAGTAAAAGATTTTAGAAATAACTTTACGTAGGGTTTATATAATTATATACATCAATGTTAATGTTATACATTACTGCTTACCAGCCAGATATAGCCCATTGCTTGGACGCGGCATCTCCTGCTTGTTCAAACAATGACAGTCCCACCAAAGAAACTGTTGGCACTATGGTGAGGGGAGTCACAAACTTGAGTAGGATACCCATCACCCCTGCAATGGAAAAGAAAAACATGATATAGTACTCTGCACAAACTTGAGTAGGATGCCCATCACCCCTGCAATGGGAAAGCAAAACACGATATGTGATGTGGAAAGCGAAAAGGGATCTCTTGTCGGCGGTGCAAAATTTTCAGTACGGCCGATACCTATAAGTAATTAAGGGTGAAAATAACTAAATTTCCGGTTTTTATCGATTGTTATACCTCATTTATCATAGAACAGGACAGTATTGGTTACAATACCGAATTGAAGACATAAAAGGTCGAAATAAATCATTTTGTTAGCCTCTGCACGGTCTGAGAAAAGGTACCTCTTGTCGCTCAATGTTATTTCGCCATAACGACAAGAGGTCCCATTACTAATATTCACTTAATAAACAGATTTTAGTCCAAAAAATTAATTGTCCTGAATTCTAGAGGAAATTTAGAGAACTTCAACAAAGTTCAGTGTACGGAGAACAAAATATCTCACAAATTTTGCGGTCCCGACAAGAGGTACCTTTTCTTATCTTATGGAGAAATAACATACGACCGACAAGAGGTCCCTTTTCTGAAATGCGATTTTTACAAAATGCTTCTATAAAACAATTATTTAAATGAAAACTACCGAGAGTTAGGACAAAAATTGGTTTTGCCTCCAAAGAGGACATTATAAGCTTTCTTTTGATACCAAAATCTCTTCTTAAATAAAAAATACCCTTGCCGCAGCAAACCTGCAGACTAAGCGAATTTCCATTTGCCTGATTGGATTTAGACTAAAATGTCTCCTTAAAAATATCATATTTATTCCCTATTTAAATAGAATCAGTTTAACACATACTTAGGTTTGCTGCAACAGGGAGGGTAAAAGTGTTTTTTTATGTAAAATGTTAATAGTTAGTAAGAAATAAAAACATTTTCCAAATTTGGGCAAAATATGTTAATAAACAAGCACACTACAACGGTTTACTTATTCTCCATAAGAATAACATGGGAATTTTAAATTAACAATTTTTTGGAATTTTCTCCGTAACCATTAGGTGCATTATAACGCTTCAATATACTAAATTATTTTTTTTTTTAAGCTCTACAAAATAGTTTGGAAAGAAATTTCAAAATTTTATGTTTTTTTGGGTCAAAAATAGGAAAAACTCATTTTTACCCCATAAAAGCCCCCATAAACCCCTGTTCCCATGGTCCGATCATGCTGGTTCGCGAACTCGTTCGAATAAACGTAGGTTTACACGTTTGTACCAAATTTCATCAAAATCGGATCATTTTTGCTTGAGTTATCGCGCTAACGGACACACATATATATATATACATATATATATATATATATATAAATGCAAGAAAATAATAAAAATATATATATTTATATAAATATATATATATATGAATTTGAACGGATGGTGTTTTTGGCCTCTAGGGACATCAAAACAAACAAAAAAAATCGGTCCCGGGTCCAGGTCTTACCATGAGTACTACGGTAATAGCTTATTCCCTATATGGGAAATTCGCTAAAAAAACTGTTTTAATACGTACTTGAAATGTTCAAAAGGGGTTTTCTCAAAATGACCCTTTTCAATAACAAAATTTCAAAGTCCTATAACTTTAACAAAGAAAATCGCAGATGCATGGGACTTCCACCAAGTGATTCAGAATTTAATAAGGAATTCAAATATGTATATAACTCAAAATAAAAAATTCCCGACAAGAGGTCCCTATTCCCTTTCCACATCACATATAGTACTCTGCACAAACTTGTGTAGGATACCCATCACCCCTGCAATGGGAAAGCAAAACACAACAGCAACAGTGCTCTGCACAAACATGAGTGGATACCCATCAAGCTTGCAATGGGAAAGTAAAACACAACAGTACTCTGCTCAAACTTAAGTAGGATACCTACCCATCACGCTTGCAATGGGAAAGTAAAACACAACAGTACTCTGCACAAACTTAAGTAGGATACCTACCCATCACGCTTGCAATGGGAAAGTAAAAAACAACAGTACTCCTGCACAAACTTAAGTAGGATACCTACCCATCACGCTTGCAATGGGAAAGTAAAACACAACAGTACTCCTGCACAAACTTAAGTAGGATACCTAACCATCACGCTTGCAATGGGAAAGTAAAACACAACAGTACTCCTGCACAAATTTAAGTAGGATACCTACCCATCAAGCTTGCAATGGGAAAATAAAACACAACAGTACTCCTGCACAAATTTAAGTAGGACCTACCCATCACGCTTGCAATGGGAAAGCAATAGACAACAGTACTCTGCACAAACTTAAGTAGGGTACCCATCAAGCTTGTAATGGGAAAGCAATAGACAACAGTACTCTGCACAAACTTAAGTAGGATACCCATCACGCTTGCAATGGAAAAGCAATAGACAACAGTACTCTGCACAAACTTAAGTAGGATACCCATCAAGCTTGTAATGGGAAAGCAATAGACAACAGTACTCTGCACAAACTTAAGTAGGATACCCATCATGCTTGCAATGGAAAAGCAATAGACAACAGTACTCTGCACAAACTTAAGTAGGATACCCATCAAGCTTGTAATGGGAAAGCAATAGACAACAGTACTCTGCACAAACTTAAGTAGGATACCCATCAAGCTTGTAATGGGAAAGCAATAGACAACAGTACTCTGCACAAACTTAAGTAGGATACCCATCAAGCTTGTAATGGGAAAGCAATAGACAACAGTACTCTGCACAAACTTAAGTAGGATACCCATCACGCTTGCAATGGAAAAGCAATAGACAACAGTACTCTGCACAAACTTAAGTAGGATACCCATCACGCTTGCAATGGAAAAGCAATAGACAACAGTACTCTGCACAAACTTAAGTAGGATACCCATCATGCTTGTAATGGGAAAGCAATAGACAACAGTACTCTGCACAAACTTAAGTAGGATACCCATCATGCTTGTAATGGGAAAGCAATAGACAACAGTATTCTGCACAAACTTAAGAAGGGTACCCATCAAGCTTGTAATGGGAAAGCAATAGACAACAGTAGGCCTACTCTGCACAAACTTAAGTAGTATACCCATCACGCTTGCAATGGGAAAGCAATAGACAACAGTACTCTGCACAAACTTAAGAAGGGTACCCATCATGCTAGTAATGGGAAAGCAATAGACAACAGTAGGCCTACTCTGCACAAACTTAAGTAGGATACCCATCATGCTAGTAATGGGAAAGCAATAGACAACAGTAGGCCTACTCTGCACAAACTTAAGTAGTATACCCATCACGCTTGCAATGGGAAAGCAATAGACAACAGTACTCTGCACAAACTTAAGAAGGGTACCCATCAAGCTTGTAATGGGAAAGCAATAGACTAGACAACAGTACTCTGCACAAACTTAAGTAGGATACCCATCATGCTTGTAATGGGAAAGCAATAGACAACAGTATTCTGCACAAACTTAAGTAGGATACCCATCACGCTGCAATGGGAAAGCAAAACACAATACTCGAGTACCCAGCACAAACTTGAGTAGGATACCCTTGCTACGGGAAAACAATACACAATACACCACTTTCACTCTGCACACATACTAGAAATGTGTGTTTAAGTTTTAAATATAGCAAATAAAAGTATTTATAAACTGCATTGATTTAACTATGTCCATTAGGTAGGAAAATAATTTTCCATAACCTTATGAACAAAAAAATGTGAACACAAGTTTTTACAATAAAGGAAGAGTAATAATTAGCAAAATTTTTCTGATGTAAGGTGTACTTCCCAAATGATTCACCTATCCCGTCAACTTCCACCCTAGTATCCACTGTTTATTCTAGGTAGACCTACCCCCCTCTCTCACAAAACTCTTCCACTGGCTCCGTACTGAACGTTTCAACTTGAATCCTAGCTTGAATTGAGCCTCTGACACACCGTAGTGCACTGCATAATATATCGTATTCTTTCTTGTGATCCAACTTTTTAACCACACTAAATTAAAAGGTCAATTTTTTGTAAGCTATATCACTTTTTATATCCCCTGCAGTTTTCACAGTGTATAACTAAAAGAGAATATGGAACTTTAACAGTACACTTTATGAGAGGCTCATTTGTCCAAATTTTTTTTATAAGAATCTGAATCCTTTTGTTCCATAGGTACTAAAGTCATTGAAAGTGAGCAAGTAAATTGTTTATCAACAGCATTACCTCTTGATCACTTACTGGTTGTTTGGTGTTCTGCAGTCAAATGTATTAAGTTTGGTAAATAATCAATTAGTAACCGTTCTAATGATTTTTGTAAAATAACAATATCGACATTAGTACCTACCGAAGTAGCCGATGAACACCTGCACCAGAGAGGAGACTGCTATAGCGCCTGACAACTCCCGCATGCGGACCTGCCACACCTCCGTGCGGTTGTCCGGGGACATCTGGTCTAGAACATCCTGAGGAGGACATTGCCACCGGGGCAGACTGAGGATGGCTAGGGTCGGCACCAGGAAGGATATCGTCCCTCCCTGGACAATCGGCAGTCTGTGCAAAATATAGTTAACTATGATTAAGTTTTGATGATTAAATTTTAGATCGGAGTTTGTAATCCAATGATATTTTTCAGAGTAGATTGTTTTGTTAACAAACTTCTGTTAGTAGTTTACTTTAGTTTCTAGAAAATCTGTAGGAGTCTAGTTGGATCCCTGCGGTAATTTAGTTAAACATCGATTGGTTTACAAAAAATCATTCTTAAAAATAGTATAGAAATGTATTTCTCTTTTAGTACGGTAATATACTTTGATCTAGGTAACTAGCTAGAGTTCTCCTACGTTCAAGATCCATAGACTACTTTAAAAAAATTACAAACTCTTGCATTTTAAGAATAGAGGACACAGTTTTTCTTAATGAATTAAATAATGTACCTAAACATCAGAACAAAATATATTTGAAATAATTCAAACATTGTCAACATATCTCTTATAAAGCTTGACAACATGAAAAGACTTACCACTTCCGGAAAAGAATTGTTTAAATGTAGAAAACAAAAAGTCACTTAGGATAACTAACTAAATTAAATTTAAACTTCTTGTAATGTTGTGCAAAGTAAAACTCTGATATTATTCCTAAACAGTTTGAACATTTTCTTACGACAAGGAATAATAAAAAATAATAAACTAATCTACCAACCTACAACCAAAAGTGACTTGGAACCAAGTTACCAAGCCAGTGACAAAGATCATAGTGGAGATAATGTGACCCCTGGCAGGGTCATCTTCCTTCATACACAGGGCTGGTGTCAATATGAAGGGGATGCTGACTATGGCCCCAATCATGGTCAAGTAGTGCTAAAAAAGTCTAGATAAGTGAAGGAAAAAAATATCATGGTGTTTTAACCTCCAACACTAACAAAGTCCCATGCCTCAGGGTGAATAGTGCTTTTTGTGGGTTGAAAACTGTTTAGCTCCCTGCTCCCTCAGTAGATATCCTGCTGAAAGGGGTATCTATATAAATAAAATTAGAGTTTTGTCTGTACATTGCTCAGAATTATATATTTTTAGGTTATTTTTACGTCTTATACATTAAATAAGCAGAAACGAGTCTTATCTCAATTTCTGTCTGTCTGTCTGTCTGTCTGTCTGTCTGTCTTTCCCTTTGTCTGTAACACTCAAGATGGCATTTTACGCTATCTTCTCCTGGAAAACGAGAGTACCTATCAAGATCCAAGTCATTTTAATGTATTCACTGGATTGGCGAGATTGTCTTTAGCCATTAAAATATGGCCTCACTACTTTGTAAATAATATTACGAACGTTCAAAAATGTAGTTTTGTGCGATTTATGTCAAGTTTTCGTCCAATTTTTATTGCATAATCATCTATGAAATAACGAACAGCTGTTCGGATCAAGATTATTTTTCCTAGCTGTCACTGATATGTTTACAAATGTTGTTTAAAAATACCGCAACCTTTTTCAATCACGTTTTAAATGTAAATCCCAAGTGATTAAAAACGTTTTTCTTACATAACGGATTTAATTAATCGAAAGTGCAATAATATAGTGTAATAGTGTAACCGTGTAAATGAAATTAAATAACTAGGCATCATCCAGTTCAGGAACCAGAGATTCTTTGTGTATAAATTGTTCTTGAGTTTTGATAACCAGAAAGAAGGCCTTGAATCAGTGTTGTATACGGCTGGGAAACTAAATTTAATAATGATCGTCGCCAATGGCTTAGAAATATGGTTTCCACTCATTGACACGGCGCTTCAATGGCGGTTGTGTAAAGTGGTAAGTAAAAAATCACAACTGCAGTGGTTGATTGTAACAGAGGTTTACGGATGATGCTAAACTCGCTTTTTTTCTAATGTGTTATTTTCTGTTCCTACCATTGACTATATATATATATATATAGTCAATAGTACCTACTCACCGTGTGATGCAATCGCTGGACCATACAGCCATGCTCTTGGGTACGTACGCCTACCCAATTATTCATAACAAACTGTTCGACGACGATCCTTGATACCGGTACTTTTCCCTAGAATACACGGCCTACCTACTTAAGAAATAAAATTACAAACGTCCAAAAACCCAACGTTGTGTGATTTTTGTCACATTTCCTTCTAAGATAGCCTTTACCAATCATTGTTTAGAGAATAGGTACGTAGGGCCTAATCTATTAAATAACAAAAAGTTGTTTGTATGAGGTTGTTTTTTTTTAAAAACTGACACCGATAAGTTTACATTAAAAGTTGTTTACAAATAAAGCAATGATTGGGAAATAACTTTGATTGCCGTTTTAAAACGTTTTACGAGAAAATCAAAAACCAAGAGATCAATAACCTCGGGACTTGATTAACTCATATAATTGGTCGGCTGTACTATAGTTCTCAACTGTGAACGTTGGTTTTTGGTACCGGTTCTATTCCTTAGAACCGTTGTTACTGTTGGTAGTAGCAAGAATCATTTTTAAGTACCAACACATCACTGTACTTTACAAATTAGTTATCGTTGGTGTTGCACCTTATTTATTATTACAGGCGTATTAAATTTAATTGATGTCTTAACTGTAAAATTTTTGCTTTTTCTTTCTTGATTCCAAAATGTTAGTTTATGCTAAGAAAACGATAACGCACTTTAGTAAAAAATTTATTCAGCTAACCATAATGAATTGTTTAAACGCTTTACGTTGTTTATGTATCAATAGTTCGTGGCCTATTTTGGTAATATTTACTATAAATTACCAATCGTCTATACCAGGGTGGCTGACCACCCTGGACCAGTCGTCTTCATTTCATATAGTAAGCCGTCATTTCGGGTCATCATCGGTCCAAGCAAATATACATTGTTATGATGACATTAACAAAATATTTTAGATACTAATTTTACAAGTACTTTGTTATGCTTAAAGCGTAGCAAACCCCCTAATTAAGTTCTGTATTTTTGTGTGTATGTCTGTTAGTAAAGCATTAATGTCCTTATTTCTCAGTGTTTCACGGAAAGGACAAAAGTACCTTTATAATGAAAATGTCAACACGAATAAAGTGTTAAATTGGGAGGTTGAAGTAGTACCTTAAATACTTTTAACCATTGTGGAAGGTAACTTTCAATTATAGGCCTACATTAGGGCTATGCCTCATAGATCTATAAAGCATTTTTTAGTTTAATCATTGGATTTAACATATGGACCAACACGACCCAGGTTACATTTAATTTCGAAGCATTTGTTTTGGCTTGAAACTGTCAGATACTGTATTTGCGAAGGTTTATATACTGTATAATAGTTTTGCCAGCATATCTGAAAATATGCAAACCAAATTCTGTTCTTAATAAAAAGGTTTCAATAACTGACTACAATAAGATCCCCGTGCGTAGAACGGGCACACAGCTAGTATATATATATATATATATCAAAAACCACTTTTTGAGGTCTAAGGGGACCCAAAACAAATAATCCACTCAAAACTCAAACTCCAAACTTTTGACTAAAACAGTACTTTCTCCATACCTACCTGTATGGTATATAGGAGGAGAAAGTAAAAAAGAAATCTAATATTATAAATCTAACACAACAAAGATCAGGTGGGGCATGGCATATTACCTGACCGATATGAAAAAGAAAGTTGTGTTAGTTGTATAACATGACTGAGATAGAAACTTAACACAACTTTTGCGAAATAAAGAGGAAAACTTGTTAGTATTATAATGGATTTAAGTATATACACACATTCTGACAGATCATGAACTTAAATTTAACTCAAATACCTGGAGGGCCATAAAAATACACAGGTACCATGGCGGGACATCGTCTATACCGTAGGTGATTTCGCACTCATACTTTTCTTCTTCAATATTCTGCTGCATTTTAGAGTGCCCATTTATATCTCCCTCAATCAGGTTCACTGCCTGCAATATTCGTATTGATTAAATAAACAAATAAACATAGAGAAAAACTATAGCAAAATCAGATACCGTACTAAACCATTGAAGATTTTATTTAATTCAACCTTTAACTTAAGAAAATTCCATTTATTCCTTATTACTGGTATGTGTTCTTCGACTGTAAGTATTAAAATTAATCAGGTTATGAATCTTAACATAAACAAATCCACAAAAGCAATGTAGCTGATGTTGTATTGCAGCATTAAATAGGCTACAAAACAATCAAATTCTAAGTTCACACTTTGTCGTCTTTGTCGAGTGATTTTGTTTTCAGCGTTGTTTGAGTTTCAATCCATCAAGGGCCTACTGATTATTTTAGTCTTTAAAAAACGTATGTATAAATATAATTATTTTGTAAGACAACATTATTTCCAAATGTGTTCCGACCAACCGGAACCTCAAGAAATTTTAGAGATTAAAGGCTTGTTTCACCTGATATGTTATCAACCTTAAATAATCCATTGTAAAGTGTTTTGTAAGATCTTACTTATCTGCCATAAAAACGTTATTATACAGACAATGCCATAGAATATCTCTAGAATTACCTTGATCGGGTCATAGTTCCAAGTTCCAAACCTTTACAAAGACAATATATGGAAACAATTTGCAATCAATGTTAACCATAAATTTGAAAGTCAAGATAAAATATTTCGTTCAAACTATTCAAAACCTAAACATTACTTTGGTGGACGGATTAGAAAATATATCCTTAAAAAAAGGTTCCCTATAAAACATTTTCAACTTTTGACACATTTGACCATTTCAGGGGTAGCAGTTGACATTTTCTACAGCTATTTGTTCATTTAATATATAATTTGTTCACTATAAAATCCATACTGGTTCAGAAGATATACATACCAATACCGGCACTTCTAAAAAAAAAAACACTCTTACTTACCGTTTGTAACCATTTTAAACCATGATTCATCAACTCAAATTTACCTCCAAGTCTTTTTTTAATGGGTAAAATGTTATATAAAATTATATAGAATATTTTCTTCTACTTAATTTGTAAGACATAAACAAGAAAAATAGTGATTCAGAATAGCAGTTTAAAATCTATGGCACTGTTTTCATTATTTTAACATTTATTTTTATTTTCTATTTGTACTAAAAACAAATCACACATAAAATTCACTCAATAGTAGATTAATCATCCATGTAAATCATCTAAAGACTATTTTAAGGTTAGTTTATTCCAATTCAGATAGAGGGTGTGGTGTGTTTATTTCAATATTTTTTGCTATTTAAGCCAATACACTTTATTGTAACCAAACTTAAATTTGTATTCAAGTGATCTCTGAATATAAGGAAGTTTGTTTAACATACAATTTCATCCTATTGACTAAAAATATCATTCATAACAAATCAGCATTAAGGCTTGGTTGTAAAAATAGGAATGCATTCTTTTATGAATATAGGTGACAATCTTCTATGAAAAAAATGCTCGTTGACCACTAGGTCAATGTGGTTATAAGGACCTAATAAATATTGTACAAATAATAATTACTTACACTTAGCCCTATACCGTGGTCTCCCATCGTTACCTATGTCCAGTCAGATCGAAGTACAAAGATACACTAACTTAACTACTAACTAGAGCTTCTTCCCCCACCACAACAATATAGATCCTGTGACAATAAGTAGTGCTTGGGAGTCAGCTGTTGATAACAACAGATAATGATCCTATTCCATTTAGTAAATGGTCAACTTTCAAAACATTGTGAACCCTATAGGCACAGAGCAATCTATATGGATGTTGTTTCTCCCTGCTACAGGCTAATTGTGTTAACATAGGCTTATGTCCCTAGAGTAATTACATAAAATTTAGGGGCAAATACACATTTCACTCAATCTTTTGTAAATAATATATTACGACATGGAAGAAATCACTGAATAATATATATTACTGATTGATTGAAGTTAGGATTGAATTAGTTGCACACAAACATTTATTTGATTGTGTTCACTGTAACTGTGTGTAACTGTGTGTGTTTATAACTTTATTATTCAGTGATACCACCATACGAATAGGTAATTTGAGTTTATCAAAACGAAAAGAAACATGGTAACGTCTTTATTGATTTATGTTGTTTAACCTAATTTAAAAAAATGTGCCTGGTTCTATACTTTAGTGAAATGGTACAAACTCTTTCTTAAGTTCTAAAAAAAGTTTCTTAATGGTTCGTTTTTCTTTTAGTTAACAATTTTTTGATGTTTGTGAATCCTATATTTTCAAAAGCCATAACCAGTAGTAATTTGTCAATTTGTAAAAAAAGGTATTAACAGAAACTATTAAAAAAAAGTAGTTAACGGTTTGGCATGTTATCAAACCTATTTGGAGGTATTCCACAACTAATCCCAACTAAAGCTCTTGGTTATCATAACTACAAAACTGTTTTGTGTAATCCTTGATACGTAATGCATTGATAACACGACTCTTTTAGAAGTTAGCAATCAAATATTTTACAGGTATTAGATATATAATTAGATATTACAAAATGTAAAAAAATACCCTCGCAGTTGTTTTTTTTCCTCTTTATTTTATGGTTGAAATTAGACCATGTTAATATTCAGAAAAATATTTCAACATTAAACCATGATGTCATTACTGCAAATAAGTAGACCTCTCGTGCAAATGTAAAATCTAAAGCCGGGTTTGATATGACGTGTGTTGTGTTCTAATAAAAACTACCGTAAATATTTCTGTATAATTTTTATGAAAGATATTTTATAACAGATTATTTTTTGATTACAATACCAGGGGATATATTAATAGTGTAAAACTAGATTATAATATCCATTTTAAAAACTTTCAAAGCTGGCTAAATTGCAGGAAATATCAAACAATAAAACAGCATCCACACAACTTCGACAGAACTAACATTAATTGTCTTCAGCTCATATAGTTGTCTTCTGTAATGGAGTACGTTTAGGTTTAATCAGTGATAATGTTCATGAAAAGGGTTCGTCTTATACATTCTATGACATTCATAGCTGAATTGGTTTCGGATTCTGCTACATGTTCAAGATAGTTATATAGATTGTAGTTTCTCACAATCGAGACTTGAATGGTTTCAGTGTTATTTATTTTCAGTATAGGGAATGCCAAGAGTGCAAAAAACCTATAGTTTTTACTGAAAAATCCTTCAAGCTGCATTAAAACTAACCGACAATGGTTTTTGTATGAAAGCCTTATGATGCAGCTATCTATAGACTGTTAAACCGTGAACTACCATGTGCATTACAAATTGGTAGGCCTATGATTATCTGGATGAATACTAAGCCTATTTTGATTATATTATGTTCGCAATTCAATACAAATATAAAAAAATATGTGCCTATGTGTACCTTATTTTGGACACCAATAAACAATTCCAACAATAGAGCTAAAACTCAAACCCACAATACTCGTGTGTCTGTCGCAATTAGAAGATAATCACGCAATTAACTGTCCATAACCGTAGGATAATTGTTTCAAGCCCTCATTATCGTAAACAACCTCCCATTTACACTGTTGCTCGATCCATATTGGCTGTTAAAGACGTGCTATTTTAAATAAAAAATAATTTAGTGTACCTAATGTTTTAAGATTTATTGGAAGGCTGAATAGTGCCTAAAGACTAAGACGGATAGTTTCTATGTTTCTATGCATTTCAATTATAAAAATATACCAATGATTGTAGCATATTACATATATCCATAAAAAGGGCTGCAAATTAAAGATTGTAAAAGATTTGTTTTATGCTTTATCAGTTTTTTGTCAGTTTTTAAATTTTTAAATATTATATTACAGTTTATTATAATATTATTTACTGCCCATTGGCCTTGAAATTGCATTTTACATATTTGTTAATAACAACCAACCATCTAAAACTCAGTTCTTCAGAAGGTTATGAAGGTTTGTTACGACAGGGAATTTTAAAATTCACTCCAGTAAAAAAAAAACTAAAATTAAAGCTCTGACCAGATTGTATAATATATTTAAAAAAAATAATAAATATGTAGCTAAATTATTTCTTTTAGTAAATACCGTTTAAAAGGTATTTTTTATTTTAATTTGTTATTTATACCATTGAACTCACAAAAACTATCGAATCATCTATTATTTTTAATTGCAGTTAAGTAGTTTTAAAAATATATTTATCTTTTTATGGCGTGAAATTTAATTTATAAATAATCTTAAAACTTATAGCTTCTGTGCAAAGTGATAATTCTTGAAAAGTAATCGTTATATTTGTAGAGTCTATCGTTGTTAGTTAGTTTCTAAGACAGGCTTTAAATGTACAATGTTTTCCTTCATTTGTACTGACTCTGCACGCACAGCATTAGTACAGTACAGCTTGCATGCGGTGGGAAGAAATTGGAGGCGTTGTTTAAATTGTGGAAATCCGTCCAACGTCGAGCAGACGCACAGGCAGCACTTACCTATGTCTGCTGATTTCATAAATTTAATCAAACTAATTAATACACAAATGTCCTATTTTATTGTTAGTTTTAGTTTATATTTTGTAATTATATATTTTATATTCAAAAGTATGTACTTGTTTTCTGTATATATTATGTGGAAATAAACATATTATTTCATTCATTCATTCATTGTCTTACATATTTTTAGTAGATTTATTTTAAATTCTAAAATTACTCGTAAAACAAAAGTTAGTAAAAAGGGCTGTTTTTATTTTTACAGAACAAAATAGAAACAAGATTTAATGGTAGCCTGTAGTGTATGGAAAGAAAATAAATAGTAGCACAATACAAAAAAACTGAAAAATTGCACACGGCAGGAGAAATTGCTTTAATTACATACCTACTTATATACATTTTAATAATTTTATAAAATTAATAAGCAATATTTTAGTTTGACCTAAGTAGGCATACTGGTTTTGATTATGAAATGAGGTTTCGATGCGTAAGCTGTTGACACCCAATATTTGGGTTTTGCACAGTTCAGCATCAGATTTTATGTAATCAACACCAACATTAAATACCTACAGTAACGGTCGAGCCCTTTCAAAATGCAAATAAATCGAGTGATGTAGTTCCGTTATCTCTTCAGATAAGTACTTTTGCTTTTACTTTAAAAATAATATCTTTGTAATAATTAGAAAATTTTCTCAGCTTTTTAGATTTACGAAAAACTGAATTTGTTAAACACCAGTAAATCTAAAATATAATTGGATTAAAATGTTGCGATTATTAATTAAAATATAACGTGTCACACAACTTGCTCAAACCTGTTTGTGTTAACTGGTGAACTATTGACGATATTTTTATCTGGTAATCAAACACATTATATGCGTTTATGTGTGTGTTTTGCACAATGTGTGTGTTTTTTTCAGTAACGTTTACAATGGTGATTTAGAATAAGATTTTATTATTACTGCCGTAATATGCGTAATAGGTACATGGCAAGAGATAGAGTGATTAAGAAAGCTACAACTGAATAAAACGAATAAGGAAAGAAACTGTTATAATTCTAGTTCCAGAAATTAAGACCAATGCATTACGCTTAAAAATTATTTGTAAACAAGAATACTTAATTAATTTTTCCTAAATATTCTGACTTAACGTTATTTCAGGTGACAAAAGTATACTTTAAAGAGGGAGAATGAAATTAAAAAAAGGGGGTTTGGGGAATTTGTTTTCTAGACTTTTAAAATAGTAGGTTTTACTTCCTCTCAGAGCTTATGACAGAAGAGCTTATGATTTTAATATTAAAATAGAAGGAAATGCCAGCCGATCCCATGTCCCACTACGACTAAGATAAAATATGGGTCTAAAAGCTTATTTATGAGTTTATTATGCTTTGCCATATTTGTACATTAATTGTTTTACTACATATTTTCCATTTTCAAAGGAAGCTCACGATGTTATTTTAATTCATCATATTTCTTTAATTTATGTTTTGTTTGGATCCAAAAAAGCTGTTTTTAGAAAGTACTTAGAAAAACTCTCCCTCACCATTGTGGAGTTCACCACATAAACATTATCACGGACAAATTATAAAGTGAGATCTAATTTAAAAATTACTCGAGTTATCTTCTTCATACTATTATTTAAAATTCTTCACATAACCTTTCTTAGAACCTAATTTAGGAATTTATAACTTAAAACTTCATTTAACTACCCATTACAATAGAATATGTTATCTGCATTGCAACAATTATATTTCTATTTAATTCGAGAAGAATTTAAGTTTCACCCAGAACCAAAGATTAAAATACGTATATTAGAAAACAAAATAAAACTATATTCCTTACAGATTTGTCATCCTTGCAGATTTCCTGAAGGCACTTTTTTCAGATTATTTCCGTCCGGTTTATCAAGAAAAGTTTTGTTGTTTAATGTCGTTTTACCAAATACTTTATACTATTTATAGTTCTTTCTACCAAAGAGCGGTACGCAAACCGTAGTTACCACTCTAATAGAGTGATAATAGTAGACTTATTAGTAAACTTAAAAGACTACAAAAGGAAACACATATAAACAGCCTTCAAGCTGTACAATTAATTAAATAAGTCTACTTGCACTATTCAAAGGCTATTATATGCTAATCTTTTGAAATTTCCCC